GGAGTGGACAGTCTGGCTTCGCTACAATTAGCTTTTTTTTTCACAAATTTCAAATGAAATGTTTCTTCACAAAAGATTGTATGTATATGTTGACCTCCTGAATAATCCTCTGGCTACGCCCCATTGCTAGGAATACATCCTATCGGAAAGACTTTGATGATTAAAATAGTATCTAGTTATTTGTTAGTGAATTCGTCATGAAGTCAGGGAAGTTACCTGAGTGCATGCTCACTTGTTAATTCTTATTGGTATTTTGCCAGAGTATCTTAAAAGAGCTATTCGTGTCGTCCCAGGATAAAATATGCAATCCCTTCCTTTCTCGTGGGTGCCGTAAAAGGCGACTAAGGGAGGGCGAGAGATGGGCAGCACCGTCTGTCTTAAAACATATCCAAAGCGTAACTATGGTTGTCAAGTGTAGCAACTACTGGCAAAACCTTCCTAGAGGGAAGCGTACGTTTAGCAGTGGACAGTTAAAGGCTGACGTGATGGTATCAAAAGAGATGGAATAACATTTTTATCTCAAAACAAAAACCCTGACCTTGTCTCTGGCTGCGAGTGTAATATGGAACAATAGTAGTTCATTAGTATTCGGATATAAACAGGGGCATCTGTGTTAAGTCCCAAAAACCCTTAGCAGACAGCACTGCGCCTACAATCAGGCCCGTCCCCTTTTGACCGCGTCTGTAGTAATTAATTAACGTATTTCTTGTGCGTTTGTAAAGGAAAGGGAATAAATTTCAGTATACAAGTGCTGCTGTCAAAACATCTATTATAGAACACTAGTTGTCCACCGTGGCTTTGTACGGGTGTACTAATGAAAAATAGCCGTTTTTTTCCATGGATGACATTGAAATGTTAATGCCGCCTGCGTTAATGATATACATTGGTGGGGCACCAGTGAGGAATGATAGGTGAGTAGAAAAGGCAGGCCAGTTAGTCCATTGTGATATATACACCAGGATTTTACCATAATGGGTTTTAGGGGGAACCACGTGGAGGTCGACTTGGCAGTGGGACTGGTACTCCGCATTACTGATAATTCCTTCCCCAAAATAGTCGTGTAGGTCCCAGGATAGAATAGGCCATCTCTTCCTTTCCCGTGGGTGTCGTAAGAGGTGACTAAGTTCCCTTAGTTAATGACCAAGGTATGGGCAGCAGCGTCCTTCTTAAAACATCACCAAAAACCAAAATTTTTTTAATAATGATTCATTTAGAAATATTGAAAATTACTACGACTTCGTTCATGCGACTGGGATATATTTATTGACCAGTATTGAATAGCGAACCTTCTTCAAGATTTAATACATCTTTATACGAAAATTCATCAAAAATGGTTTTTTTTTTATACTACTTAGAATGGCAAACAAGCTGACGGCCCATCTGATGAAAAGTGGTAACCGTCGTTTATAGACATGAGCAATACCATGGATATAACAGAGTATACTGTTTCGTCTCAGGTGTTATTCCTCTGTACCCTGTAAATTCACTGCCATATCGCTCCCTTCAAACCGAAACACAGCCCTGCAAACACAACTGCTTCACAGTTGAAACACGAATGGGACAGAGGTACCCAAGCAATCGACTTTTGTACAAAGTCTCCCTCTGGTAAAGACAGATAGATAGGATTATCTACTACCGTATTTGAAATATTAGTTTGGATATTTTCGGAAAATTTACAGCCTAACGTTGTCAGATTTCAATACGAACGTCCTTTAATATGTCGGACGTTGGTCCGAAAGCCCTTAAACATTAAACTTAATAACACATACGAAAATGATTTAAATATACATTAGGCACTGTTTGCAAAACGAAGTTAAACTATGTAGTTACCATGCCAGCAAGTTTGCTATTTGATTTATTAATTGCTTTCCGCGGAGTAAGCTCAGAAATATTTAGTTACCAGGAACAATCTCTGTATAATTTAAATTGCTACTATCTTTAAGACCCCCTGAAGGGTAAGCAGAGAGAAACGAGTGAAGACGACTCTAATAATAATCATAATAGATTTTATTCAATGTAAAAAAACAACGACTTCAGTTGTGGTAAAAAGGTTATTTTGATTTTAAAATAAAATTTTTGAATCCATTTTGATAAAATTTGCACAAAATTGAAAGTATATCCTTTCCAGTGATATAAAAATACAAAATACAAAATTACGAATCAGTTTTCGGATGGAGTTATAAGGTAACAAACATAAACAAAAAACAACTGAATTGAGAATAACCTCTTTTTATAAGTTGGTTGATAAAAGAAATCGTACTTGATTCGTAAGAAGTAGCATTTTGCTCCACAAAAAAAGTTACCTTGAAGTTTGATAAAATGACGACAAGATATTTCTTAGATAGAATAGATTGGAAATATTTAAATTTTGAATGCGCAATCGTGATTTTTTTTTATAGATTTTCTTTCGTAACAAGCAGTTTTTGTTTCACAAAGAAAAAGACATTTACATTTACCACTTTATCTTCTCATTTTTACCTTTTTTACAATTAACATGTAAAATGTTTTTCAAAATTAAAACTATAATAGTAGTTATTTTTTTTATTTCTTATAATGTCGTATAAAATAGTTTGTTTGTTATTCTGTTGAGGTAATAACCCTCTCAGAATAGACACTAACACCATACTAAAGTAATAGCATCTCATTTTATAACTTTACTTTATTATTCACTATTTACCAGCTCAGTTTGGTCTCGGAATATAAAGTGAATTATACCATATTCGTGACAATTTGGAGGAGTGTGCAGTTTATTTTATCCCCAAATACATATTAGTTAGATTAGTTAAGAGTTTCTATTGAATTTTCACTTACAGAGGGAAAACTTATTGTCTAAACCATGGGTCGACAATCTTTTGACTCGGAAAAGTAAAAAATTACATTTGGCAAAATTTTAAAAGTTTTTAAAGAGCTACAAAATATTTTCTTGCCAACAAAAAATAGTACTTGCATAAATAAAGTGTGATGCCTAAACCTCGTTAATCGATTCAGAACGATTTTTAATTTTTTTTTATAATAAATCTAATATTTGCGTAAAGAGCTGCAGTTTCACATCCATGGCGCCGCATGTGGCTCGCGAGCCACAGGTTACCGACCCCTGGTCTAAACTAACATTATGTATTTATTTATTTTAAAAAGGTACAACAACAGTGTACATTTTGACATTAATTTTAATTGATATATAGAGCTTGCATCTTGCATTTATACCATTTACAGACGCACACCATATTTTCTTAAGACATCGGTTTCAAATTAATAAAATTGACAGTAACAAAACAATGAAAAAAAAGTATGATCTACAAGTGATAATATAAGAATACTAAAGTAGAATTATATATATAAAGAGAAAAGATATGATTCTTTGTTTGTAATGAATAAACTCAAAAAATATTTAATCGTTCTTAAAAATTATTTCACTTGTAAAAAGCTACATTATCAGCGTATCAACAAGAGCTATAAAAAAGAAACTGTACGTAACCGGAGCTGGTCACTAGTGCACAATGCATTTACTTCGCAAAAAGGAATTTGTTTGCTTCGCAAAGAAAAACAGTTGCTTTACTTGTCATACATTCAAAATGGAATCAACATAGGGGTTTACAGATTTCAGATTATTATATACTTATACTATTAGATACTTACAGATTTCAAAAAGAATCGTTAAAATCGGTTTAGAATTGGTAAACACGTGACAATTTTTAATAAGTACAATATGTAATAGTTACAAAGAATTCAGAGGAATTAAGAATAATAATACTGTTAGAAGTTTCTTAATTAATTTTATGAAAATATAGTTTTTTGTATAGTGAGATGATAATTAAATATAACTTATTATATATTACATTTTTCTTTGTTATTAAGGTATCAATAATTACATTTAAATACAGTGCAATATCTCTAATAATGCATACAACAAAAGTTACCCTGTTTTGAGTAGATCGTTTGTGTTCAGAGACCATCTAAAATTACATTTTATTTGATCATAAAATGTAATTTTAGATGGTAAATATACGAAATATCACGTATTAATAAAACTTATTCATATGATTTTATAATTTAAGTTAGTACTTACACACAGTTAAAGTTCTTTGCCTCATATTATATTCCGTCTGTGATTACATCTCGAAGGCAAATGGAATTGGTTCACGAGATTGTGTACGAATTTAACTACTGGCATCAGATATGAGCACTTAATTCCTAAAATGTACGATATGTTTGCTCAATTTCGTTTAACATAAAACAAGTGCTTCGAATTTTCTCAACATAAATTTTTAATTTTTTTCTCAAATGACTTCAATATTAATAAAATTAAGTACAACACTAGTGTATATTTTTTCCAAATAATTAAAATAGTTATAGAATTATTGGGATTACGCGTATTATACATATTTAACGATCAAAAGAACTTTTTAATGGGATAAAAATGGAATGTTAACCCCGCTTGCGTTATCAGGATGAGCTGATGGGGTACCAGTAATGGACAACATATGAGAATGAAGTCGGGTGAGTTGTCTCATCGTGGAAATCCACCCGGTATAAACAGCGGTGGTTTTTAGAGGTGGCCACATGGAGGATGACCTGATAAAGCACATTGTTGGCGATGGGGCTCGTTGTCCCCATTTATTAACCGTCTCCTGCCCCTAAACGATATTAACACTGTTTGTTACGTTTTGGCCTATCATTATAAAATTTTACATACCCTTAGTATTTGGATGGAGAAGGATCTAGGGTACATTTTATTCCGTTCAATAAATATGTTCCGATAATGCGGATGAATGAGGGATGCGCTGCAGCGTCCCTCTTAGAACATCATCAAAGATTAACTGCAGTTGCCAACCCGCTTGCCAAGCGTGGCAAGTACTGGTAAAACTCCCCTTATGGGGAAGGCCTATGTTCAGCAGTGGACAGTTATGTTTAGTGGACGGCTGATGCAATAATAATAACTATAGACGAAGACGCGGGTAAAAATTTGTTCATGATAAAAGACACAAGAGAAGATAACTCACCGATAAGAGAAGATCAGTCGTAATCAGGACATCTGTAATAAGAAGCAAAGTATTATTAATTATTGGATACCAACAATAATTTACGTGACAGTAAAGTGGTATTGAAAGGAGATAGAAGTATGTTTAGTGACTAGTCGGTAACCGTTTTAAAAAAAAAATGTTTATGCACACTTTTTTTACTTTATCCGAGCAGTAAGTACTTTATATTATTCTCAATTTCGTGTATAATATAGTATATGTCATATATGCGTAAGTATATTTGTTATTCATATATATTTATTCGTTTATATACGTAATTTTAGTATGTATATATATCAATAATTACTAGTACCGCATTCGAGTATTCTGACACTTCCCTACAGTTGACTGGGAGAGAATGCTTTTAGCATTAAGTCCGCCATGTACATATATATGTACTAATGAATAAATAAATAAAAATAGAAGTATGCTTTTTTTATTAGTTAATAATGGAACGGTAACTCCGTCTGCGCTATCGGCATAAGCTGACGGGACTATTGAGCGATGATAGATGAGAATGAATACAAGTCAGTTGGCCCATTGTGACGCATTCATTAAAAATTCACCGTCATACATAATTAAGAGAGCACCAGGATAGGACTCCTGGTGATTTCCACATTAGACATTTGTCTATAACCAATAAAATAATAATTATTTCCTAAATCTAAAATTCAAGTGACAACCCTAACATGGCATAAATATAAGCACTCTATCCTACACTTACGTTGCATACTTGAATTTGCAAATATATTAGTCCCACGGGATCCTATACACAGATAAGTGGCATATCCAATTTCGTACAATTATTCATACAAACCATGGACGATCACTCATATACATGATAATTCTAGCTTTTATATTCCACAAATTGGATGCTGAGTTTTTCACGATTTGTCCCCAAACAGCGAAATAAAAACGATTTTTATGAGTCCCATCTCGTTAACACGTGTATGATGAAAAAACACTCAATTATAATTGTGTTTTCAATCAATTAATTACGTTCCAATTCATAAAATGTTTAATAGACTCAGTGTTTTAGAACTGATAAGGCTGTATGAACTATGCTCTTTGCCTGTCTGATGTGAACAAAACAACAATAAGAACACAGAGTAGTTTTATGATAGAAGCATCAACAATAATAATAATAAACATATAAAGATAGTGGTATAGAACTGCAATGAGCGTATTTTCACATTTGACTAGTTAATTATTTAATAAACGAAACGAGTATTTGCGCATTAAAAAGGTGCAGAATTTATAAGACAAATAATATAGAAGTTATAAAGGAATCACTCATAACTATTTATCACGCAAAATTGTATGAAAAAGTTGACGCGCTTTTCTCGAAGCATTTGTATGGAGACACTCTATCTATCGAGGTTAGAGGGTGAACTCCCTATCAATGACGGGCCGTACGATGATAGAAAATGGTCGTGGGCATCATATTGAAATCAATTGAATTCTTCTGAGCACAATTCGTTGTACAAGCGCTAGAAGATGCGGAGCGAGGCAAAATCTCTATTAAGACTTAAGGGTTACTGTCATTGGGTGACATATCTATTAGGACCGCAGGAACTATTCATAGTCTATGGTAATAAACATGCGGAATTACTCAAATAACCTCTGCCCGGGTTAATTAATTACCCCTATTGGTATTTATCGTCGGAAACTCCGTGCGTCAATGGAATTTCATTGGATTTCAATACATTGTTACACCAACATACCATTAGAAACATCATGAAGCTATAATTAACTAGTTTTTGCCTTAGACTTCGTCTACGTGACCGGCATATATTTTGATTGATCAGATTATTAAATCAAGATTTATTGATTAAGGATCGATTACAATAATAATTTATGATTTCGTTTCACGAGAAGCACCGACTTCATTCGTTGCAAATCCACTTATTTTATAAACCACTGAATCAGTATTGATATAATTATGACGGAACTAATTCGAATATATATTTTTTCAGATAAAAAACTCGATTGCTTGGGTACCTCTGTCCCATTCGTGTTTCTACCGTGAAGCAGTTGTGTTTGCATGGCTGTGTTTCGGTTTGAAGGGTGGGATATGGCAGTGAATTTACTGGGTACAGAGGAATAACACCTGAGTCCTCAGGAATGGCAACGCATGGGGGATATCATGGGCTACACTTTTAAGATTTTTAAAAGCCAGTTCAAAAATCTTAAAAGTGTAGCCCTCGTGTAATAAAATTGTAACTAATCAATGTCTGTACATGTGAGATGTTTAAAAAAAATATTAGGCGTCCTAATAAGACTAACACATGCAAACAGGGGGAAAGGGATTGTTAGTAATGGAGACTGAGAATTCTATTGCTAGCAATATACCCAACCAGGTCGACCTCCTCGCGGTTCTTAGATTTTTAGAACTGGCTACTTGAAAGCAATATAATAAAAAAAAAATGTTAAAATTTTGAAAATGGAACTCTTAAGTTCATGGCAACGTTACACAGACTATTTTCAATTTGCTGCCAAAAAGTAAAACAAATGACAAACGAATAAATTATATACTCAGTATTATTCGTAAAGAGTTCCATTTTCAAAATTTTAACATTTTTTTTATTATATTGCTTTCAAATAGCCAGTTCTAAAAAAATTCAGTGTAGCACTCGTATTACTAAGATAAATTTACTACTGTAATCTTTTTGAGGAAACAATAAAGAGTATCTATCTATCTCTATTATCTATAATTGTATATCAATTAGATTGCTCTCAGCATCTAGAATCAAAGGCTCACTGTGAGGACTAGGACGTCAATTATTTCTATTTGTAGTAGATATTCAATTACGAAGACCAGTTACGCGTAAAATGGAGCAAAAGATGAACAATGTATTTTTACCAAATTTCTAAGTGGTAACGAGTTCTGCTTCGGTTGCTTTGTTTGTCTGTGGTTTATTATGTACTAGGATCAAATTGCGAAAAATATATTAGTAATTAGTTTTCGCACGCGACTTCGTACACGTGGATACTATACTATACCATATTAGCCATTAACTGTTCATAACTGAACCTGAGGGAGACTTTGTACAAAAGTCGATTGCTTGGCTATCTCTGTCCCATTCGTGTTTCAACCGTGAAGCAGTTGTGTTTGCATGGCTGTGTTTCGGTTTGAAGGGTGGGATATGGCGTGAATTTACAGGGTACAGAGGAATAACACCTGAGTCCTCAGGAGTGGTACGCATGGGGGGAATCATGGGCGAAACAGTATACTCTGTTATGTCCATGGTACTGCTCATGTCTATAGGCGACGGTTACCACTTTCCATCAGGTGGGCTGTCAGCTTGTTTGCCATTCTAAGTTGCATAAAAAAATACACTACATTTTAAATTCGGGCATCATGTACATATCTGTGAAAACCGTATCATATTTAGTGCAGCCGCTGTATAATGCTAGAACAAACATAATAATAATAATAAACTCTTGGGGGGAAGGGATTGTTAGTAATGGAGATTGACAATCCCATTACTAGCAATATATCCAACCAGGTCGACCTCCACGCGGTTCCCCCTGGAAACTATCATGGTTAATTCCTGATGAATTCATCATGATGTGCTAACTGGCCTGTTTTCATTCTCATCTATCACCCTTCACTGGTGCTTCGCCAGCGTATCCCGTAAGCGCAGGCGGAGCTACCATACCATTTTCACTCATCAAAAAAAAAAAATAATAAACTCTTTATTGCGCACAGTAGAGATGTATACAAGGAGTATTTATACAGAATGTGCATAAACAAAAGGCGACCTTATCGCTAGAAGCGATCTCTTACAGACTATAACAAATTCTTATACAGAAAACATACAGTTAGATAGATAGACATAATAAATCTAAAAATTATGATTTGGGCTTCTTTTGCTTGGGAGAAGTTTCTAAGGTTTGCGCCTTTTCATTTAGCACTTTATATTTTTTTTATACTTTCTACCTACTACCTACTATATACAGACATCTTCTAGTCATATTATTATACAGTTTGATTATACGTACGTACTACTACATATATATATAACATAGTAATTCTACTATACGCTCTAATTGTTCCAGTAACATCTGTTGTCTAGAATTAATATTGTTATTATTAATTTCTTGCATATGCACTGGCAACATTTGTTGTCTATGATATGTATTAATTAATTTTAGATAAAGATATCGCCATCTAAATAAGAAAAATAATATTGTCTATGAAAACTATTTTTTTTTATATCACGAAGCTGGCATAAAAGGAAACAACTTGTTTGATGGTAAACAGTTTTTGTAGCCTATGGACTTTTGCATCACTAGGAGTGTCACGTGCGCGTAAAATGCGTAAAATTAAAAAAGAATTGTGAAGTATATTCAAAGGAAAGTCCTTTAAATTTCGTGATTAAATTATGTCTTAAGTTTTACAAAGGAAACTGCTAGAAATGTACTAACTTCAAAAACATTTTAATGTTAATTTTTTAAAATCAAGTCTATTTTTTTGTGCAAATAAAAAAAATACAACCGAATGGAGAGCTTCTCCTTTTCTGAAGTCAGTTAAAAACACGATTGTTCTGCCAAAAATATTTACGTATGTCTTCTCGACCCAAAGGTTGTTAGGAAGAGATTGCTTTAGTGATAAGACCTCTTTTTGTGCTGTACAAGTTTAGTATATGTTTTTTTTTTCATTATTTCGTTGGAATTTTTATACAGCCAGTATTTACATCGATGTTTTAGAACATGTATTGTTTTTAAATATAATTTAATATATCACAATCTTTTATGTCTTGGGGTTTTTTAATAAATTGAGAATATATTATATTAAATTCAAATTCAAAACATTTATTCATTACAAATATATTTAGGTACAGGAAAGGTCACCCGTTCCTTTCTCATGGATGACATATGTTAAGGCATCTTATAGGCCAAGGGATGGGCAAAAGTGTCCTTGTTAAAACACCACCAAAGCCTAACTGCGGTTGCCATCCCGCATCAAGCATGGCAACTATTGGCAACCCTCCCCCTCCCCCCAATGGGG